CACTCCAATTCATGTGCAACCCCCGTGGCTCTTTGTACAATCCCAAAAAATTTGATTCGACTGGCCACCATGAACCCCCCTACAACCCACTTTTTTTTTTAATGGTTTGGACAGCATCTAAGCCAGGGGCAAGCAAAATATGGCCCATAGGCTGGATCTGGCCTGCCAAGCAATTTAATCTGCGGGCTGGTGCCTACCAAATTCACTGCATCTGATCCAGCCCCAGGCTGCCCCGGCTGTGCTTGCATGGCACCAAGCCCTGCTCACTTCCGTGGAGGTAGAGCACACTGCATTCCCACTCTTGCTCATAGGATAGCACTGACCCTGATCCAGCAGGTAGGGGAATAGCGGCCAGCAGGGGGTAAAGAGAGTGGCAACAGTGGTAGGCAGGAAGCAGCGTCAGCAGTGGGCAGTCAGAAGGGAAATAGGAAAGTGGCAGGAAAGGGTGGCAGCAGAGGCACAAGTGGCAGCAGTGGCAGGCGGCGGAATGGCGGCATCTGGGTGAGCGGGTGACCTGGCCCTACTCACCACCACGCATGGGACACAGGAAATGGTGGGGAGCCCTGCACTATGGGGCTGGAATAGCTCTGGCCCTCTCCCTGCCACCCTGGATGAGCCCCATGACCAGGACCACCAGCTTCATCACACAGGGCTCCCCCTGGCAGCGCACGGCTTGGGCATAGGAGCCCCATGCAATGGAGCCAGCAGGCTGGCCATGTGCAGTCCTGGGGCTCGCCAGGACCGTGCGCTGCTGGGATGCTCTGCCTGCCGTGGGCTGTGAGCACCCCGAGATTCCACTGCCTGTTGCTGATGCTGGCAGCCAAAGCAACGCACAATAGTAGTGGGGCGTGTTTTGTAAAAGGGAGTCCCACAGGCACACCCCACCATACACACACATCCACTCTCCCCCACACCCACCTGATACCCACACATGTACCCACACCCCCCTGACACCCTCTAGCCACCCTCCCTCTCCACACACCCCACTGCCTCCACAAACCTCATACCCACACATCCACA